TCTTCTGCACACAGCTTGCACTCCTTGGGCTGTCTCTCAGCTCTCTGTTCCTTTTGCAGGACTTCTTCTGCACACAGCTTGCACTCCTTGGGCTGTCTCTCAGCTCTCTGTTCCTTTTGCAGGACTTCTTCTGCACACAGCTTGCACTCCTTGGGCTGTCTCTCAGCTCTCTGTTCCTTTTGCAGGACTTCTTCTGCACACAGCTTGCACTCCTTGGACTGTCTCTCAGCTCTGTTTGCTCAGAGAGAGCCAGAACAATCCCAGCTCACAGGGAGGACGGGGCCTGGCCTCTCCCCTTCCTCACTGGCCTGTCCAACCTGTCAATCAGGCTAAGCTGGAGTGTTGGCTGCTTTCCATTGTCTCTGGGGTCTGTCAGTACCCTTCCCCTTCTGAAACTGGGAGCTGGCAAACCAAAAAACTCCCACAGAGTTTTAGTGAGGGGTAACAGTCCCCTTCCATATGTACTGCAGCCAGACAGCCACCCTGGGCTCTCACCAGCCTAGATTATAGTAAAGGACCCCAACTCACTCCCAGATTTCCCTTTCAAAATCCAGGTCCTGTATGGCCCAGCCCTCTGCTGGACAGTGCAAGCTTGTTAAGTCTTATTTCTTTAAGATAATATGCCAGCTTATTCTTTCAAAGATTTCTTCAGACAGTTCCATTTCCTGCCAGGGGATTAGGTAAAACAGTAGGGCTACGTCTACACTGCAGGCTTTTGAGCGTCTACTCTGCACGGGCGTTCTTGTGCAAATAAATGTACAGTAAAGCACCGGAACAGAGGGCTTCTTGCGCAAGAGCTATTCCTCTCCCCACGAGGAATAAGCCCTCTTGCGCAAGAGCTCTTGCACGAGAAGGCAGTGTGGATGGGCAACTTCTTCTTCTTCTTCTTGCACAAGAAACCCCTATGGCTAAAATGTCCATCACAGCTTTCTAGTGCAAGAGAGAGTCCATGCTGCCATCGAGGCTTTTGCACAAAAGGACATGGCAGTGTGGGTGCGCTCTTGCACAAGACCTTTTGCACAAAACAATTCTTGCACAAAAAGCCTGCAGTATAGACGTAGCCTAGATGTTTAGTAACTACAAAGAAAGAGATTAAGTGAATACAGATCATGAGGCATAAAAGCCAGATGCCATTTACAAGAAAAATAAAGATAAAATGCAACTGGTGCCTCATGTAACAAACCTTATTAAATTCAAAGCAAAGTTTTTCTCGCTACGTGTCATCAATACCCTGACTGGCCAAATTTCTGAGAGGGGACATGAGAGCAGTTTTCAAGTATCTGAAAGGGGGTTACAAGGAGGAAGGAGAAAAGTTGTTCTCCTGGGCCTCTGAGGACAGGACCAGAAGCAATGGGCTTAAGCTGCAGCAAGGGAGGTTTAGGTTGGACATTAGGAAAAGCTTCCTGACTGTCAGGGTGGTGAAACACTGGAATAAATTGCCCAGGGAGGCTGTGGAATCTCCATCTCTGGAGATATTTGAGAACAGGTTAGACATCTATCAGGGATAATCAGATGGTGCTTGATCCTGCCGTAAGGGCAGGGGACTGCACCTGATGATCTCATGAGGTCCCTTCCAGTTGTAATGTTCTATGCTTCTTAGACCAGGACACCTTCTTCTGTTTAATGGCTTCTTCTTTTGTCCTATGTTCTTTGTGAATCCGTGGACAGACAGAAGGGGATGAGGAGGAGGTGTTTTGTGGTGTTTGTACCCTTTTTTATAGTTTCAGCCCCCTCTTGGAAAACATTTCCAGCTGAGATTTAGGAAAGGGTTCCCATATAGAGAGATGTTCCTTGCTGGTTTTCCTACCTGTTTGAACTCCCTTGTCTCCCGTTGCTTGATGACTCTGTTTACTGCTTATGTGCAAATCAAGCCGAGCACGCATTGCATTGTTTGAGACAACCCCTCCCCCCCCCGTTTGGAACAAGTGTTAATAACATCACACACGGGAACTCTATAACTTCACAGTCAAGGCTGCCACATGTTTTATCAGGACAATATTGACCAGCAAATGCTGAGTTTTAAAATATCTTACAAGACATACCGTGTGCAAAGATTATTACATTGGGCTAGATGCAGGTAGACTCTGTCACAGACCTACAGCATGTGGCACAGTTATAGACAGTAAAGTGAGCTCTGGAAGACACTTACCTCGGAGGAGAGCTCATAAAATGTGGTGTAGTCCATGTTTCCAATGGACTTGGTCCTGCTGCCACCCAGACACTCTCTAAGCATGCACTGAAACGAAAGGTGAGACCTGTAGTAAAAAGCAGAACTGACCAGCTAATAGTCCTGTAGTTACTAGAAAAGCTTCCGGTGATGAAAGAATTGTTTGTATCATGAAAAGAAAGAAGAGTGGGCAGAACCATGAGGCTGGGTGCAGACAAGCAGTGCTCCGCCTCCATACAAAGATTCTGGGCAATGCCTCCTGTCCCCCACAGCTTTCACCAGAATCTGTGTGTTTGGGAAAGGTGGAATCTCTGATCCATATGGGCACCCTGACCATATGTCACGGGGTATAAGGGAGTCCCCGGGCCCTGCACCCCCACCTGCAGCCAGACGTGACTCTCAGCTGGCAGGTCGAAGAGAAGGGTTATCGGTTCACAGGGACACAGTGTAGCTCAGACTTCTTGTTACAGGAACCAGGAGCATTCAGTACAGCCAATCTTGGGGAAAGGGGGGCCCGGAGTCCCAGATCTGGGCTCCCGCCCTCGCCCTCCAGGCCAGCTAGGCTCCCTTCTCCTCCAGCCTGCCGAAAAACTAACTCCCACTCACAGCCACTAGTCACAGCCCCCGAGGCGGCCTTGCCTCCTGCTTTGTCCTGCTTCCAGGCCCAAGATATTATTCGCTGTCACCTGGTCTTCACAACGTGAGAGACTGAACCTTCTTCCCCCGGTTCATGCCCAGCCTCCTCCTCCTCATGCCGATAGTGCTGCAGTGCCTGGGGAAACTGAGGCGCGCGCACACACACACATAGAGTTACTGCAGAGCAGCACAGGGCAGTAGGAATCGTGCACGCACAAGAAAGCAAACAGTGAATGTAACAACAGAGTGAACACAGGACAACAAGAGTGGACAAAATCCCAGCGATGTCACATCTCTCCCCCCTTCGAGACCAAACTGAGCAAGGTCACTCAGCTGGTGACCTGGGGAAGTTCAGGCCCCTGTCTCCATGCCAGAGCATCAGCCAGGACTCGGCACTGTCCATAGCACAGATCCATCCACCTCACAGTCCAGCAGGAGCAGCCTCCAGTCCAGCCACTGGGCTCTAGGCCCTCGCAGTCATGGAGCAGCCCCTGGAGCCGTCTGGCCTGCCCCAAGCTGGGACAGGATCTAGCTTCATAGGGAATCGTTCACTCCCAGCTGGGCCATTAGCTGGGCCTTGCTGAACCCTCCGATCCTCGTCCCTCTCTCCTGGCACCGCTCGACAACATCCCTCCTCAGGCCACAGTTAGAGAAACTCTCCCCTTGGTCCCAGTGAGACTGGCTAGACACTGACGCTGCCCAGACTCAGGCACCCTCTTCCCCAATCTCCCTGTTACCTGCAGGGAACACGGCAGCGTTGGGGCTAGGGTAAGACATCAGCCTGATTACACAGAGCTGCCAGGCCCTAATCACCCCGCAGCCCCCCGCAGTGATGCGCTGAATCCCCGAGAGGTAGCGTCTCTGCTGCTCTTCCCATTTCAGAAGCTGGAGTTCAGGTCTGGAAGTTTTCTCCTCAGCTTGTTGGGCTCTTCTGTCCAGCTCTGCCCCAACGGCCAGGGAGTTTTTCTACCCCCAGTCAGTCAGGTAACAAGTATCATCACAGACACTGATCTCTTCCTCGGCTTGCAGCTTAATTCTCCAATTTGGACTCGCTCTGAAAGACAGGATCCATTTCACGGGCCTGTTAGACATGCAGATCTCTTCTTCCTCCTCCCTGCTGTTCCCAGGGATGCAGACACACCAGCCCATGCTGCAGCGCTCCACAATTCCCAGAAAGAACCCCTTCATTGTGCCTGCCTCCTGGGGTGTCATAACCTGCTAAGGTTAGATCGTAGACCCCTCCACCTCCTGGATCACTTCTGGGGGGGGGGACACTCCCTTTCGAGGCTCATACTCGGTTTAGACCACAGGCCCCTCTGCTTCCTGGAACCACTTTTCACAGCCTCCAGCACTCCTGGCTCTTGCAAGCCCCCTTCTTTCTACGGTGCCCCGTCACTGGTTGCTGGATGCTCCATCCACGGGGTGCAGTCCATCCCTCCACTGCCACCACAGTCACAGATAGGGTTGCCAGATGGTTGAAACAAAAATACCGAACCCCCCTCCCCCCCGCAAAAAAAAAAAAAAAACACCCAGAAAAAATTCTGTTGAAGGGAAAAACAAAGTCAGGGGAGACCAAAGTTGCTGAGCAAGAAAAAAAAATAAAAATCAAAGAGCATGAAAAGAGCATGACCCCTTTAAGTGCAGGGATAGGAACAGGGAGCGGCTGAGCACTAAGACCCAGGGGAGGGATTCCC